AAAAAAAAAAAAACAACTAACTCTAAGAATTCTCCCCTTTCCTCTTTTCAGCACGTTACCTGTTATTGGCACTGTGGGAATGCTGAAGTAAAAGCGAGCTTCCGTTTCTGAGCCCCTGCTCTCGGAATGTCTTCTTCAAGTCTTTCTGGGGAATGGGAGTCCACTCGTCCCCGCCAGGCTCGGCAAGGTTTACCAGGATGATGCCGACTGGCATGGCCAAGGTAGTGAACACAGTCCGCATTTCCGCATTTGCCGGGAAGACATGTGGGGTCTCCACCAACTGCCCCTGCGTCTCTCCTTCTGCACTTGTCTCCACATGAAGAACATGGATCAGTAGAGGCTCACAGTCCACACCAGTCTGGATCTGGACTCCGCCAACCTGAGGCAACATGGAGACAACCACCGGCACAGCTGACCTCTGCCACAGGGAACCAGCGCCATGTCACTGTGAACACTGCTCTTCCAAGAGGACCCTCATTTTCTTCCAAGCAAAAACCACGTTTCACAAATATCACAGGAGCCATGTTAGATTTTATTTTGAAATATCCTCTTCTCCATACTTTCTTTAAGAAGAAAAAGCTGGGCTGTAGGTAGAGACTTAGGAGTTATCTGTGCTGGAGATGAGGTTTTGAACGGATCAAGGATGGCCAGGGTGGGCAAAATATTCTGAACCCCCTTCACTATGGTCCTGCACCTCTGATATCCCCTCTAGCTCAGTGGTTCTGGCCGCGCTCTCACCAACCCTCATGACACAGCCTGGCACGATGGAGGTAACAATACATTTCTCTCTCTTGATTGTGGTACTAGGGTTTGAGCTCAGGGCTACCTCTCAGGCTTGCTCCCTAGCTCCTTATGCTTTACTTATTTTTTTTGAATAGTGTCTTGCATTTTGGCCTGGGCCTTGCTCCCCCTACTTAGGTTTCCCTCACGGCTGGCACAACAGGCTTGCACTACCACATCCAACTTCTTATTGTGAGACGAAGTCGCCAGTCAGTCTTCCTTCTCTTTGCTTCCTGAGTAGTTAGGATTACTGGCCTGAGCCATGATATCTAGTTGAGTGACGTATATCTTTAGCATACAACTTGCCTCTACCTTAAATATATTGAACATGTCAGCAGTTTTCTAAAGTCTAACTACATGCTGAATGTCCTAAAGTGTATTTCTTGAGTAATTTTGTTTTTACCTCCACTCCATTCCAAACAAAGATGTCTTCTCCATCAGCAATTTCAGCTTCACACAGTGTCAGTTCATCTCCTAGAATGATGAGATACCACTGATTAAAGAGGAGATATTCAGGCTGAGAAGGTGGCTCAGTGGTAGAGTGCTTGCCTTGCATGCATGAAGTCCTGGGTTCAATTCCTCAGCAAAACATAAACAGAAAAAGCCGGAAGTGGCATTATGGCTCAAGTGGTAGAGCACCAGCCTTGAGCTGAAGCGCTGAGGGACAGCGCTGAGGCCCAGAGTTCAGGCACACGACTGACAAAAAAAAAAGGATGGACACTTAAGCCTTTGTTTGAGAAGTCACAAGCAGTAATTATTTCATCCTACAGACATTATTTTTTCTTGTGTTTATTTTGATTTAAGGCCAATACCCAGCTCTGCGTGCCCAGCACAGGCCAGCAGTCAGTACGGAGCCAACATCAGAACATTACTCATGCTCTAATGGCCCCTCGACTGTCACTAGCTGCTGCAGATGCTGTGAGCTTCAAGCCTCACAGCTTCCATTTCTTATTTATGAGATGGGTATAAAGGAATTGTTTTGCAAATCAAATGAGATAAATTAGCACAAAACCTGCATAATATTTGGCACAGTGAACCCCAGAATAAATGTTACCATTGGGCTGGGAATGTGGCTTAGTGGTAGAGTGTTTGCATTACATGCATGAAGCTCTGGGTTCAATTCCTAGTACCATATAAAAAGAAAAAGTCAGAAGTGGAGCTGTGGCTCAAATGGTAGAGTGCTAGCCTTGAGCAAAAAGAAGCTCAGGGACAGCGCCCAGGCACTGAGTTCAAGCCCCAGGACTGATAAAACAAAAAACAATGTTACCACTGCTACCACTGCTATCTTTGTTTGGTATTATTTCAAGGACTTAAGTACTTTTTTTTTGTCCGGCTGCAGACTGTGAAGCTTTGAGTTGAGTAGAAAAAGACTCAAATAGTTTTAAGCCATTGGTTCAATAATTTGTGTTAATATAAATAAATGTGTGTGGTAGAAAGGTTGCCTTAGTTTCTCAACATATAGACCATTTCTGTGAGGAAGACTTCACACAGTGTAACAGTCGAATGGATGACTTTTCTTTCACTGATCACGTACTATGGTCAAGGCAGGGGAGCCGTGGGCCCTGGGATGCCATGCTGTCTTACCATCCAGGGTCTGGTAAATGTGAAGTCCCGCTGGCACGCACTTTGCCACACTGAGAACCATGTCTCCTTCCCAAAACTGCAGCAGCTAAAGGATGGTAGCATAGGAGAGAGAACAATACAGAGTAACACAGGACTAGCACACTTCGAGGTTCAATACCCACAGCACATGAACACTCTCATTCCGAACCAACACCAAATTTGGACTAAGACACCACTCATTAAATAAGTCAAACTCTAAGATGGTTAATCATCAAGTGGGGCACCAGCGGCTCACGCCTGTAATCCTAGCTACTCAGAAGGCTGAGATCTGAGGATCCTGGTTCAAAGCCAGCCCAGGCAGGAAAGTCTGTGAGACTCATATTAACCACCAAAAACCTGGAAGTAGAGCTGTGGCTCAAGTGTAGAGTGCTAGCCTTGAGCAAAAAAGCTCGGGGACAGCACCCAGGCCCTAGACTGGGTTCAAGTTCAAGCCCCATGACTGGCACAAAAAACAAAAGAATAAAATAAATTGTATGGTTAACCATATTTATTACTGACAGAAGAATTCTGGTGGACATAACACAATCACCTTTTTAACAATTCTATTTAATTTATGAGAAGGCCATTTTTACCAAGAACAAACTGCTCAAGCAGGCTAGCCTCCAAATTTCTACTCCTACGAACACTTGTTTTTTTGTTTTGTGCCAGTACTAGGGCTTAAACTCAGGGCCTGGACACTACAGCGCTCAAGATAAGCGCTCTACCAGTAGAGCCACAGCTATACTTCCAGCTTTTTGGTGGTTAAGACGAGTCTCACAGACTTTCCTGCTTAGGTTAGTTAGCTTTTTACTACAGTTCTCAGACCTCAGCCTCCTTGGTTACAGGTGGGGGCCGCTGGCACCCCGCTAAGAACACTAACATTTTAAATGGGCACTGCTGAGGGAAAGCAGCATTGGCTCCACCCACACTATGCTTCAGGAACTAGAGAGGAAGGTCTCCCATGGTGGACATAAAAAGTGAAATCCTGTGCCCCATTTTCCTATCAGGAGATGGTGTGGGACAAATAAATATGACTACAGAGAGAACACAGAGGAGGAGGTGGCAGCCAGGGCTGGGCCTTGTGCCATCACTAACTAAACACCTGGGCAATGCTAGGTCTCTTTAAATCACAATATTCATCTTCAAAATGGACTCAGTATATCCTCATAAGGTTGAAGAATCAGCTAGCATAGGTTATGTGAAAGCACTGGCAAAACAGGACATATATTCTACTGCTGTGATGACTGAAACACAGCTGGATATCTTATCAATGAATCTTAGCACTCAGTTGTTGCTCAGTGCTGAGAGCTTGCCTAGTGTGTGTGAAGCCCTGGGTTTGATGCCCACAAGTGCAAAATGAAAAGAAAAACAGAATTTCACTAATAAATGTTATGCTACACTGAGGAAGTAAGATTACAAGATTAGTGCTTTTATTTAGTGATTCTTGGTTTTATGTAACACACTCAACTTTATGCTCTCGATTTCTCTGAAAAAGAAGTTTCTTTCATTTATCTTTTTTTTTTCTTTTTGTTGGGCATGGGGCTTGAAATCTGGGGTTGACCACTGTCCCTCAGCTCTTCAGCTCAAGGCTAGCATTCTACCACTTGAGCCACAGCACCACTTCCAGTTTTGTGAGTGGACTGCTGGAGATAAGAGTCTTACCGGGCTGGCTTTGAACCGTGATCCTCAGATCTCAGCCTCCTGAGTAGCTAGGATTACAGGTGTAAGCCACTGGCTCCTGGCTTTTATTTATATTTCAAATAAGCAACAAGTCCAAATTGTCTGGCCCTCCTAAACAATATATGACAGGCCCTATTCTCCACCTGAAAAGCTGCTGGGAAAGTGAGCAGGAAGACCTGTCGAAAAGACTCCACTGCTGGGAGGAAGGCACCCACCAGCATCAGGAGGCTGGGACAGGGGATCTCAAGTCTGAAGCCAGCCTGGTCATACCTTGTTTAAAAAAAAAGGACTTAGGAGTCAGGGGAGAAGGTCTGGTTCATATACCCTGCTATAAATTGACAGAATTTTCCTGAGTGACTGAAAAAAGTTGTAACCTAAGTAAGCTGAAAGGGAGAATGTCAGCTTGGGATCTATACTAATGCTTCTGTTGAGAGGAAATAGACTAAATTACCTGAAATATCGACTGTCGGAGATCTCCTAAAGTTTTTCTTTTATCAAAAGTCAAATCCCACACACTCTCTGCCTGTGAGGTTCCCGGGTGCAGCGCCCCATTACAGAAACGATAGTGAGGGCCCAGGTGGAGATGCAATTCAAAATTATTGTTCGCAGAATCACACTCTGTTCTATAAAGACAAAAACACATGCGCATGTTTTTATAAAGATACTGTTCATCTCACACCAACATATTTACTTGACACTGCTAATGTGTTTTCCATTCTAGCTTAGTGGAATCTTCTGTCAAAATGACTCATTTGAAGTTTTTTAGTCAACAGTAAGTACTCAGTCCTGGCACCATGAATTCCAAAGGAAAACTTCGAGGTTAACTACAATTGTCTGAGCAAACGTTGACACCTGGATTCCTCTAAACTTGAGATACACTGCAGCGAGGGACAAAATGCTAGCTAGTTATGCACAAATAACACTTGCTCAAGTAATTTTCTCGGAAGCAGATCTACCAAATTCTACAATATCCCGACTTTCACTACACCTCCCAGGATCTCCCAATAGTATCTGCAGTCACTAACAAGACCTTTGTGAGAGTATATTCTCCAGGCTCCCAGACCTTAGTAACAGTGGGGTGCTGTCCGCTCCTCTCACTCCACACCTGGTGACTGGTAAAGAGTTGCAATGAGCGGTCACACTAAAGATACAATTCTATTAATGTGATCAATAAAAAGTATTAGCTTTTTTGCATGACCAACTAAGAATCTTAGTATATACCAACAAAACTCTCAGGGATTATTATTAGTCATTGTTTTTAAATACCAACTAATTCAGACCATTCCTGCAGGCTATTTTTTGCACTTCAGATGTTTTATTCCATTAAATTTTTTTTTGGGGTCCGGTCATGGCGCCTGAACTCTGGGCCTGGGCACTGTCCCTCAGCTCTTCAGCTCAAGTCTAGCACTCTACCACTTTAGCCACAGCGCCACTTCTGGCTTTTTTCTTTTTGCTTATTATGGTGCTGAGGAATCAAACCTAAGGCCTCATGCATGCAAGGCAAGCACTCTACCACTGAGCTACCTTCCCAGCCCCATCCATTAAATTTTTTCTTGACTTTTAATCTTTGTTGAGAGTTCCTTTGATCCCAGTGTGCCAGTCAGCGTACCTGGTCTTTTTGCTTCCTGCTCCAACTCCATCATACAAATGCTGAACACATCCTTGCCACACAGTCTGCCCCTTGAGTCCACAAGGAAAACATACATTTCCCTAGCCCAATGCCCTACTGACCCTACTGGAAAGCCAAATGACCCATCAGATCTCCAGGACCCATTGCTAGCTCCCAAAGAAAACACTGAGATCACCAGCTTCTCATTACAGGATTTTGGCTAAGACTGACACCACACTCAGTAGTTTATACATTTCTTATTTCCTTTCCTTTGAAAATTGGCCATGTCACCTATCAATTCAACACAACTACTTGAAAACAAGGGGAGATCTTAATAACAAGCTCTCTTGGCACCCCAGTAAGTTAGCAGGCCAGGCCAGGATATAGCACAATTACGTGCTCCATGTTTTTTCAGTCTATGAATCTTTCTTAGCATGGGCCATTTATTCAATCTCACAGATAAGGATAACTGCAAAGTAAATCATGACCTAATCTAAAAATTCAGCAGCCCAACAGAGGCTGGCTGATGACTTTTATTTATTTTACATTCTCATTATTAAATGCTTAAGGCCTAAATTAATTCTGTGTTCTCCAGAGGAATTTAAAATTACCTTTTCATTTGCAGTTCAGTGTTGGCTGCATCCATTTCCTTCAGCAAGTGGCATGGAACCCTGTATCTTGGGTTAGCTCGAGCTGTGAATGAAACTTTTCATTAATGTGTGCTACTAAATGAAATCGAGTTCCTGAAAGGCAGCAAGAAAACTCAAAAGAACTGCACTGGGAACTAGGAAAGCTGCTACTAAGTACCTGTGTGAACAGACATGTTCTCTGGATCTCAGTTTTTCCACCTGAGAAATGGATTTTTTTTCCAGCCAAGCTAGAAGTTTCCCATTTCTTCAATTTTCTTTTGTTTAGGTCTGAGACCTGGGCTCGAACTCAGCACCTTCTGCTTTTGTTCTTTGGCTGGCGCTCTACCAATGGAGCCATTCACTCCTTCAACCCCTAAAGGGTTGGTTATTTCTTTTCTTTTTTTCAATTTTCTTTAAGTATACTTTTAAAAAGAGAACAACATTATTTTTGTCCTGATTACAAATATAACAATCAGCAACTGTAAACATTCTGGAATTATTTTTACAAGTGTAACAGATACTTTATATCATTTCATTCCTAATACAATACTCACACAAAACTTTCCTTGTAAACAGCTGGGAATAGTCAGCAAATCTGAAATTGCTTTTTCATTGTATATACTGTTTTAAACAAATGATTGCACATCAGTACAGTCTGGAGGTAGCATATGCTAACCAATTGTTTTCGGCTAAACTTTACAGTGATTTCTAACTAGTCATGAATATAATGCTGGTGTGTGTGTGTGTGTGTGGTGTGTGTGTGTGTGTGTGTGTGGTGTGTGTGTGTGTGTGTGTGTGTGTGTGTGTGGAGAGAGAAAGAGAGGAGAGGGAATGAAGAGGGAGAGGGAGAGGGAGAGGGAGAGGCATGTGACCTACCAGTACCCAACCTAAAGTTCCTTTTTTTACACAGAGGAACTATGACTTCACTAAAGTGACTAGGAGAAAATACATTTGTTATTTCCTTTAGCAACCTCCAGGTTTTATTTATTGTGTAATGCTTTTTCTACCCTTTGTATGCATTCTATCTATACTCATTCTAAAATTCAATTTGGTGAAAGAGAATTCATCATCTAATAAGATTTTTTCTGTTAACATATATTTCTGTCATCATAAAATCCAAGCCACAATATTTCTATCAGAAATATTACAATGAACTGGGAGCCAGTGGCTCATGTCTGTAATCCTAGCTACTCAGTAGGTTCAGATCTGAGGATCAAAGTTCAAAGCCAACTCAGGCAGGAAAGTCCCCCTAAGACTCTTATCTCCAATTAACCACTCAAAAATCAGAAGCAAGGCTATGGCTCAAAGTGGTAGAGTGCTAGCCTGGAGCAAAAAGAGCTCAGGGGCCAGGCACCAGTGGCTCATGCCTATAATCCTAACTACTCAGGAGGCTGAGATCTGAGGATCATGGTTCAAAGCCAGCCCAGGCAGAAAAGTCCATGAGACTTATCTCTAATTAACCACCAGGAAACGGAAAGGAAAGTGGTGCTGTGGCTCAAGTGGTAGAATGCTAGCCTTGAGTTGAAGAGCTCAGAGACAGTGCTGAGGGCCAGAGTTTAAATACCACGACTGACAAAAAAAAAAAAAAGAGCTTAGGGGTGCTGAGAATGTGGCTTAGTGGTAGAGTGCTTTCCTAGCATGCATGAAGCCCTGGGGTCAATTCCTCAGTATCACATAAACAGAAAAAGCCAGAAGTGGTGCTGTGGCTCAAGAAGTAGAGTGCTAGCCTTGAGCAAAAGCAGCTCAGGGACAGTGCTCAGTTCTTGAGTTCAAGTCCCAGGACTAGGCACCCCCCCCCCCCAAAAAAAAAAAAAGCTCAGGAACAGAGTCCAGGCCCTGAATTTAAGCCCCACAACCAACAAAAACAAAAAAAAGTATTATCACATCTTTTAAAAAAAATTTCCCATCCCAGAAAAATATAAAGCCTTTCTGGTTAACAGCATAGACTTGTAACTGTTTGAGATCTAGAAATTTAATAAGTTAATTTTTATTCTTCTGTCAATATTTCACTGCCTTATTCCTAGACTTTATTTTTATTTATTTATTTTTTGGTCCGGTCGTGGGGCCTGAACTCTGGGCCTGGGCACTGTCCCTCAGCTCTTTAGCTCAAGGCTAGCGCTCTACCACTTGAGCCACAGTGCCACTTCCGGCTTTTTTCCTTTTGCTTATGTGGTGCTGAGGAATCGAACCCAGGGCCTCATGCATGCAAGGCAAGCACTCTACCACTGAGCTACTTTCCCAGCCCCTATTACTAGCCTTTATAAAAATGATCACTACTCTCATTCTCTTATCTTTTTTTTTTTTTTTGGTCGGGCTTGGGGCTTGAATGCTGGGCCTGGGCACTGTCCCTCAAGGCAAGTGCTCTACTGCTTGAGCCACGGTGCCACTTCCAGTTTTCTAGTGGTTTATTGGAGATAAAGAGTCTCACAAACTTTTCTGCCTGGGCTGGCTTTGAACTGAGATCCTCAGATCTCAGCCTCCTGAGTAGCTACGATTATAAGCGTGAGCCACCAGTGCCCGGCTGAAACATTTTAATTTCTAATCCCACTAAATCAATCTAAGCACATTAAGTCAATCTGAGGTGTGCTTTGGAGTGGACTTTGTTAAGTGACCAGAAAGTCTTACTGATTTATTCACATTACTAGCTTCAGATAAATGGTACTCTTCATTACTACTAGTCTGAAATGGTTAACCTGCATCTAAGGACTCTCTTAGAAGATTAACCAGAGTGCTTCAAAGATATTTCAGTTGTATGTAAAGGAAGGTTAAAGGGGGAAAAAATAACACCCTGGGCACTTAAAACTCAAAGACAACACAGCCTGAACTACAGAGACTAGCTTGCACACTAGAATATCATACCCAAGTTTGCTAACACAAACATTCTGAAAATGTAACTAAGGCCTCAGTTATTATAGGGGAGAAAAATACTATCATAGATACATATTCTTTCTTTTTATTATTTTTTATTGTAAGAATACCGTACAGAGGAATTAAGATTACATGGGCAAGATAACAAGTACATTTCTTATCAAGCATTGTTGCCTCCTCGTTGTTTCCCCTTCCCATCCCTTCCCATACTCCTCCCCTCCCCCTACATACTCTTTCTATAAAACGAAAAACTGTTAGATTTGGCACAATACACTTTCTAACTTTAGCTTTAAAATATTTAAAAAATCCCAATATTAAATCTCTTAAAATGATAAAATGCATTGACCATTGATGTTCTTCTGGAGTCATCAACTAATGCAAGCCAGCACCCTTCTTTCCGTACCTTCAGGGGGCCTCTGCAACTGGGACTTCCGGTAAAACAGCATGTAGGCACTTTCCTTCCCCTGAAACTGCTGCGCAATATCCTTCTCCTCAATTGGCTGCACTTTGGAATCATTGATATCAAACCAGTGGGGGCAAGTGGGGCTTCCATTTAATCCCGGGCATTTAGAAGTCTGGTGATCATTTCTTTGGAAATCAGACTCAGCCTGGAGAGAACCATTCTTCAGGAGACTAACTGTACTTTCATCTGAGCTGAGCAGAAATATCTGAGAATGGAGCTGTAAGAACTATATAGAACAAATAAAAAACAAATATTTTTTAAATTAGGATAAAAAAATCCTTTCTCTTTCCTTCCCTTTCTCCCCTTCCCTCTCTTCTCTATTCACCTTTCCTTTCCCCTCCCTCCCTTCCTGCCCTTCTCCCTCCCAACCACTACCCCCTCCTCCTTCCCCTCTCTCTCTCTGACACACACTCTCGCTCTCTGACTCACTCTCTCTCTCTGTCTCTCTCTCGGCCTCAAACTTGCTAGGCAGATGCTCTACCACTTAAAACCCTCTTTCCCTCCCTCCCTTCCTTGCTTTTCTCTTTTTTTAACTTCTTCTTTATTCTTTTTGTGTGTGTGTGATAATCTTTTTTTTTAATTGTGAAAATACCATACAGAGGAGTTACAATTACATGGGCAAGATAATGAGTACATTTTTTATCAAGCATTGTTGCCTCCTCCTTTGTTTCCCCTTCCTATCCCTTCCCAACTCCCCCAACCTCCACTTCTTCTTTATTATTAGCCCATCCTGTAAGGTTAAAAAAAAAAAGTCCATCTGTGTATGATAAACTTTTAATAAAAGTCAGAGGGCTCAAACAGATTAAAAGCTGTGGCAAGGGAGAAGCTGTTAACCACAATCTAAAAAGCATTTGAATTTTACATCACATGAATGATGTTGTATGAAAAAGTTACTAGTGAGAGAAGTTACTAGGGAGAAAAAACGCTTTTGTAATATCCTAAGACTAAGTGACCTTTTAAATGTTAACTGTAGTTAATGCAGTCTGTTCTGGAAGCTGACAGGAAAGATCAGAAAACCAGCGCACAAAGGCATATGTCATAATTGCAAAAGACATATTTCAAGTTCTTACTAAAGAGTTGGATTAAAAAAAGCACAAAAAACAGAACTCCCTTCTCACTTCCTCCCGGTCCTTCCCCACCTGCTGTCCTGGCCGGTTTCCCTAACTTCTATGTAGCCTGGTAGCCCCTCCTCTCCCTCAGCATTAAAACATTTTTTTTTTGGTCTAGTCATGGGGCCTGAACTCTGGGCCTGGGCGCTGTCCCTCAGGTCTTCAGCTCAAAGCTAGCGCTCTACCACTTGAGCCACAGCGCCACTTCTGGCTTTTTTCTTTTTGCTTATGTGGTGCTGAGGAATCAAACCCAGGGCCTCATGCATGCAAGGCAAGTGAGCCACCTTCCCAGCCCCAGCATTAATACATTTTATAAACAAAAACTCTTGAGAGCTGGGTACTGGTGACTCATGCCTGTAATCCTAGCTACTCAGGAGACTAATATCTGAGATCACAGTTCGAAGCCAGCCTGGGCAGACAAGTCCATGACACTCTTATCTCCTATAGAGAAAAAGCTAGAAGTGGTACTGTGGCTCAAGTGGTTGAGCAAAAGCAGCTCAGGGACAGTGCCTAGGCCCAGACTTCAAGCCCCAGGACTGGCAAAAAACAAAACAAAACAAAAAGCTCTTAGGGCTTACTTCATTATTCAACAGAGAAAGGTTATTTTCTCATTTTATTTTGGAAAAAAACAGGTAAGTTACGGTCATGTCATAAGCAGGTCACTGTACAGCACCTGCCTACCATGTGCAAAGCTCTGGGTTCTACCCAGCACGGCAAACACAAAAACAACAAAAGCCCTCATATTTTATTACAAACTGAAGAGCCAAGGCCATATGGCCACCCAAGGATACTGTCAATATTGCTATGAGAACAGATGTTCAAACAATCCTATAGCTAATTTGTTTTAGGGACAATTAAATTTCAGTAATTTGAAAGTATTAAGTAATAAACTCTCTGAACATCTAGCTGTTTTTCTTTGTTCAATAACTGGAGATTAATTCTCAGCCTCAAACTTCAGTGTTGTCTGGTTCTAGAAATGGCAGAGTTTTCATTAGCCTAATCCTCCTGATAAATGCAATAACCTACAGATAAAATAGTGCAAAGAGCTGTGGAGCTTGTACCCAAAGGTAGGTATAAAGTGGAGTAAACATAATTCAAAGAACAGATTACATTAGGTGATTTCTAATCTAATTCACCTTCCAGTTCACAGCAGTGCATGCTGGGATAGAATGCACATTGCCACTTGGCTGAGCTGGAATTTGGGAGAACCAGTTAGAAGGAGGGGGGAAAATCTTACAAAGGTGCCCCAAATAATCCCCTTTAATCCGTGGCTAACTCCTAGAATGACAGCTCAAGACCAACTCCAAGGAACCCCGCTGGGAAGTTCAGCAGCTGAGCAGAGCTGCCAAGTCAGAAGGGGACGGCTCTTCTCAAAGAGCCAGATGGCAGACATTTTAGAGACCAAATCAAGGATACTGTTAATACACTTAAATAATCTTTGAAAAAGCAACCAATTAACTGAAATTCTTGGTGCAGGGCAATGTGAAAATGGGTAGCAGGCTATATTTTACTCACAAGGCAGTCAGCTAAACCCAGGCTTAGGAAGAAAGACCACACCCAAGACTAATGCCCCAAGACAGCTACTCTCTCTCTTTTTTTCCTTGGGTCTGGTGGTGGGCCTGAACTCTGGGCCTGGGCGCTGTCCCTCAGTTCTTCACCTCAAGGCTAGCGCTCTACCACTTGAGCCACAGCACCACTTCCGGCTTGTTTTTTTTCTGCTTATGTGGTGCTGAGGAATCCAACCCAGGGCAAGGTAAGCGCTCTACCACTGAGCCACCTTCCCAGCCCAAGACAGCTACTTTCTAGGAGTAAAAGCAAAACTACAAAGGACTCACCCCCAAAACTCAAACTGCAGCCTCCATGGGTCCAAAGAGAGTCAAGATAATATAAGGGTTTGACAGAATGCAATGTAAAACTTCCTCAAGACAAAGAACCTCATTCTGAATCTCTAGAACACACCCTCCATGACATTCAGGGTCTAGCACATGTACTTGGGGGAGGAGTAGGGGAACCATGGCCAGTGTACACTGGATGGTAGATGGAATATGAAAAATAATAATGTATCTGGGAGCCAGTGGCTCACACCTGTAAACCTACTCAGAAGGCTAAGATCTGATAATCACAGTTCAAAGCTGCCCCAGGCTGGAAAGTCCTTAGACTTATCTTTCATTAACAACCAAAAGAGCAAGAAGTAGAGCTGAGGCTCAAGTGGTAGAGCACTAGCCTTGAGCAGAAAAGCTTGGGGTCAATGCCCAAGCTCTGAGTTCAAGCCCCATGAAAAGCAAAAAATGAGCAAATAAAAATAACACACGGGGCTAGGAAGGTGGCTCAGTGATAGAGCGCTTTCCTTGCATGCATGAGGCCCTGGGTTCGATTCCTCAGCAGAAAAAAAAGCCAGAAGTGGTGCTGTGGCTCAAGTGGTAGAGCGCTAGCCTTGAGCAGAAAAGCTGAGGGACAGCGCCCAGACCCAGAGTTCAGGCCCACGACTGGACCCACCAAAAAAATTAAAAAAAACAAACAAACATGTGCAGCCTACACTGGTGGCTCACACCTGTAATCCTAGCTACTCGGAAGGCTGAGATCTGAGGATCATGGTTCAAAGCCAACTCCAAGCAGGAATGTCCGTCTGTGAGACTCTTATCTCCAATTAACCACCAGAAAACCAAAAGTGGCAAATGGCTCAAGTTGTAGAGGGCTAGCCTTGAGCTGAAGAGCCCCACAACCGACTCAAAAAATAAAAATAAATAAAAATAAATAAAATAAAAAATAAATAAAAATAAATAAAAAATAACATGCTCAGAATCAGAAAGGAAATTTTAGATGTTCTCATCACGAAAAAAATCTAAAATGCTAAATGTGTTAATTGGTTAGGTTTAGTTACTATACATTGTAATTGTAAAAAATAACATCCCTTTGTACTCCATGGGCATATACAACTATAATTTATTACAAATGGAAAGAAAAGTTTATATGTAAAGTATATGACATGTAATTAAACAGCAGAAAAATGAGACACTTTTTTTTTTTTTTTTGTCAGTCATGGGGCCTAAACTCTGGGCCTGGGCACTCTCCCTTAGCTCTTCAGCTCAAGGCTAGTACTCTACCACTTGAGCCACAGCACCACTTCTGGCTTTTTCTGCTTATGTGGTGCTGAGAAATCAAACCCAGGGCCTTGTGCTTACAAAGCAAGCACTCTACCATGGAGACACCTTCCCAGCCTGAAATGGATACTTTTAATGAACTAAGTAGAAATTCTAAAAAATGCAATTATCTGAAATAGAAAGCTCAACTGGTAGAGCTTAATAGAAGACTTAGACTGGAAATGTGGCTTAGTAGAAGAGTGCTTGCCTAGCATGCATGAAGCCCAGGGTTTGATTTCTCAGTACCACATAAACAGAAAAACCTGGAAGTGGCACTGTGGCTCAAGTGGTAGTGTTAGCCTTGAGCAAAAGAAGCTCTGGGACAGTGCTCAGGCCCTGAGTTCAAGCCCCAGGACTGGCAAAAGAAAAAAAAAAAAAGACTGACATAGCAAGAAAAAAAATCAATAAAACTGAATAAAGCTGAAGATAGATTAATGAAAATTATCCAAATTGAAGAAGAGGAGGAAATAAAGAAAAACACACCCCAGGATGTCCAAGGAAATATGAAATGATTTCATATGCATGTAATTGAAGTCCTCAAAGCCAAAGGGGGGAAAAAAAGCAGAAGAAATGTGGCCAAATTCTTTCCAGAAGACTTCTGAACACACATACAAAAATTTAGCACCAGAGTGCTGAAAACCAAAGATTAAAAAAAAAAAATCTCAGCTGGGTATGGTATGTCACGTCTGTAATCCCAGAGCTTTGGTGGCTGAGCCAGAGGATCATGAGCTACAGGACAGTCTGGGTTACATATCAAGAACCATTTTCTAAAAAAGTGCTGGCATTAGTGGCTCACACTTGTCATCCTAGCTACTCAGGAGGCCTAGATCTGAGGATATTGGTTCAAATCCAGCCAGGGCAGGAAAGTACATTAGACAAAATTTAAAATGACAGGTAACCTCTCATCTTAAGAAAAAAAAGTGGGGGGCTGGGAAGGTGGCTCAGTGGTAGAGTGCTTGCCTTGCATGCATGAGGCCCTGGGTTCGATTCCTTAGCACCACATAAGCAGAAAAAAAAAA